AACTTTTCTCCATTGAAGGAAACAGCTCTGCACATCAACAGAAGAATAGAAATTTCTAATTATTAAAAAATCACAGAAGGGGTTTATTTTACAGGTCTAACGAGTCACTATATGGTCACCACAATAATAATTACTAAATAAATAAACTTAGTAGTAAAATCCATCAGTACATATAAAAAAAAAATTTCAAAAAAAATACAGAGTTTAATAACTTTTCATGTGTAGTGTCTATTAGAGCCCATGGACACTGTTTATGTGACTGTTCACGTGATGCACCTGCTGCTGAACATGGACTCTGTTCACGTGATGCAGCCCCTACAGTTGGACTCTGTTCACATGATGCAGCACCTGCTGCACTTAGTCATGTAAATACTGCACATGATCTCAACACAAAGCATGGAGAAGATAAGGATAGTGATGCTAGAGATATCTCAAGTGATAAAGATAAAGAGACGTGAAAGACTTTTACAGTTATGGAGAATTGGCAGACTTTTACATATCAAAACAAAATGGAGATCGAAAAATTCAACCTAGCTACCATGTTGGAAGACTTTTACAGTTATGGAGACTTGGAAGACTTATACAGTTATGGAGACTTGGAAGATATAGCAGCCAATTGATGTTACCTTAATAAATACAATACCAGCAATGTTATTAGGATCTAAAAATTTGACATAATTCACTATGACTTTTAGATTGACTGTAAGCCCCATCAAACATTGAAACTTAGTGTTGATCCAATGATTCTTATTAAATCACATCATTATGTCAACAAATTAGATTAGATTTTTAGGTCCAAATAGTATTACTCAATGCAAAATTCAATACTCTGATGATAGAGAAGGTTCACGGTTTCTAATCTCGTTTTTGTCGAATTTAGTTTTCTACGGTATATATGAACATCTTTGATTAGATGAAGACAGATATATAGAAAATGTGTCGAGAGAGATATTTCTAGATAGTTAGTATTTACTTGACAAGTATTAAGTAGGAAGAAAATCATAAAATACATACAAATCATGATTTTATGCAGAGTTTTTTCAATGATTTTATGCTGAATTGCATTGAAATGAAGAACATGGCATATACAAATGCATAGTATACCTGAGGTTCCGATTCAAGAAAACCAAGAATAATTCCAGGAATTATCCCTCTAATGCCACCACCATCAATGCTAAGTATTTTGATTAAATCTCCACATGACTCATCTTGAAAAAGGGTTGAACTTTTATCCATTGAACAACACAGCTCCGGTACTAATTATAAGTGGTAATAAAATGCTAAAATTTTTGGATTGTATGAATAATCCAAGGTGTTCCTCCTTAATTACATAAACCTTCCCATCAAAAGAAGAATAGAAGTTTCTAATTACCAATAAATCGTTTATAGGATTATTTATAATGAGTCACTGCACGGTTCCCGCAACAATAATCATGCAATAAATAAACTTACTAATAAAATTCACAGGTATATATAAAACCTTTTTTTTTTTTGTTTTTTAGATACACATTTTTATACCTTTTTTACGCATTAATCATAGTGTCATAAAATAATCGTTTTTAATTTTTTACATCTATCTCATTAAGGAAGTAGTGAAATTTCCNCGCATTAATCATAGTGTCATAAAATTATCGTTTTTAATTTTTTACATCTATCTCATTAAGGAAGTAGTGAAATTTCCAGATACAAAGAGATTTAGTTGAGTCGGATTATCCACAACTATATCATCATCAACCTTTCAACTTAATGAATTGTTTCTTCCAAGTTTGAAGTATTTAAGAATCACTGCACATTCACCTTTACCATAAATATGAGATAGACAACAATTTACTAATTTTGCAATTTGAACTTTTAATTAACTATTATCTTTTCTACTTGGGAAAATATATGATTAGCACCAACACTTCACCCCTTGTTTCAATTGAAGTCTTGGACTTTCTGGTTTTTTGTTTTTTTTTCAATTTGACCCTTTTATTTTTTTAATTTGACTCAAGGTCATTTGAATATGATCGGTTGTTTCTGTTAGTTTTAAACAATAAAATTGTATGAGAAAGAATAGATTATTACGTTTTTAACTGTTTACAAATTAAAGTATAATTGGGTGAAATGTACGAGAAAGAACAAATTGTTACGTTTTTAACTGTTTAAAAATAAGCCTAAGAGACAAATTAACTGTAAATGATGAATTGTGGTTGGCTGTCAATATTAGGCTCAGCAGTAAGGATAGATTAGTTCATCCTAGTGTGGGAGTGAACTGCATTCTTTTCAGAGGGGCTGCTGAGACTCACTGTCAATGCCACTTAGCCTCCCCTGCAACTTATTTCACTCTCTCCAAGACGTTGGCCGCCTATCTTAGATCTTCCCATTTTCAAGAAGATTGTGAGCTCCATCTGGTTTAATATCAAGGTGATTCTGTTTCCATTCCCATCTATATGGGTCCGTGCACCATTTCCACGATGTACCTATTCTCAGAATATATGGCATCAACTCCAGAACATGTGTTGCCAACCTTGGCAGCCAAGGACATGGCTAGTGTTCATTGCTTGGGCTGCTCTCCATATTACTATAGATACCTGAGAAAGAATGATAGCACTCTATATTACCAAAGCAATATTGTACCAAAATTTATTTTCAGCCGTATATTTTATTTGATTTGTTTGTAGATGTTAATTTTTAATTGAAAAATAAATAAAAAAAAATTAATATCAAGAAATAATTTGTATGCCAGGTGGACCTTTAAAACAGATAGAAAGGCTTGGGCTTCTTTCTGATCTCTTGGGTTGGGCCGCAAGACACTAGTCTACACCCTTCCATGTTTCTTCTCAGACTCCCAAACTTCCACTCCTCTTCTCTCCTGTCCTCAACAGATGGAAAGGTTACAGCGTATGTTCGCCGCCGCCGGAGTCACATTGTGCCATCACCGACGTAATCTCCCACTCTCGATTCATCGGAGCGAGATTTCTTGCTTTGAAAATGGTCAAACAAGGTACTTAAATCTGCACATGTATTGATGATCTGGTAAAATTATGAGTACTGTGTGTAGACCTAACTAGGGTTTTGTGATTGAGAATTTATCGGGAGAATTTATCGGGAGAGCGAGAGTTCCGATGGAAGTGATGGGTTTGATGCTTGAGGAATTTGTGGACGAGTACGCAGTTCGTGTGGTAGATGTTTTTGCAGGCTTTAGTTCCTGGCCTAAAGAGGCATTATTACTCAATTGCAATCAACTACAGAAAGTACGAGCTTGAGGAGAGAATTTTACTGAACCTTCACAAAAACAAACAGACAGATGGATTGACTCTTCGGTGATTTGATGCCCACTCAAAAAACAAATGAACAGACTGTTTAGGTAGTTGAAGCATTGGTTGTTTTGTTGCAATTAGCATCTGTCTGGAAGTACGAAACATTTGTTTTCGTCTGACATTGATGCCTTGTGTCCAAGGTAACCTGGTCATTATCCAATGGTGTTGCCACCAATGGAGTTTGCTGTAGGAGTGGACTTATGCTTTGTTTGGCAGAAGATGTAAAGTAAGAACGATAGAAAAGATGGAACAAAAAAATGACTGTTTTTTTTTTCTTTGTTGACTAAAATTAAAGGTGACAATAAAGTCGAGTCGTCGTGTCAGATTTGTATTGAGTCATTACAAGTTTATGTCAAATATTAGTCAAAACTAATTTGACTCATTTAACTAATTGTGTCGTGTCAAGTTGCGAGTTGATCTATTTATTTTCGTATAATCGTGTTATCGTGTTGAGTCGAAAATTTTCACCCTTAGCTAAAATGGAAAAAATATTTTTTTTTAATTTAAATTTTTTATTTTTTATTTTTTTCAAATATATATACATATTTTGTTATTATATTTTTACATAAAATTAATGTATACATAAGATATCTATATAATAAAGTAACTTACCATTCAAATCTCAAAAGATAAATAAAATGACTTTTACTATTCGCAATTGAGATCGCTTTAAATTTTACTTTAAAGTTAATCTAACAGCTAATATTAACACCCTAAATTTAATAAAAAAAATAGGCCTCTAAAGATATGTTTTGAGTAATTTTTTAAAAGTACTTCTCAAAATTATTTCTCATGACTATTTTAAAAAAAAATAATAGTGTTTGAAACCGTCCTACTATTACCTCTACCACCACCATCCCCACCACTACCGCCACCGCCACCGCCATAGCCACCACCTCCACCTCCGCCACCATCACCATCGCCACCAACCCACCACCACCACCACTGCACCACCACCACCATCACCACCCTCACCATCGCTGCCACCACAACCACCCTCGTCACCACCCTCACTGCCACCCCCATCGCAACCACCACCACCGCCACCACCGTCATTGTCACCCACTGCAACCATCATCATCTCCTACCACTACCACTACTGCCCACCACCTCTCACTCCTCACTATAAATTGATGTTTAAATTTTTTTATTTTTTCTCTACATTTGTAATTTACTTTTTGATATAAAAACAAATATGTTTATTATTTTTTATTTTTTATTATACTAAGGCACATGTAATAACTAGTATAGACAAATAAGATACATCTCAACACAAATAATTAACTTTCCATCCACTTTCCTTCCGATTTTGGAGGGATTGATTTTGGTGAGTTGAAAGAAAAGTTAATTTATCCACTTTTTCATCGTTCCTACTTTTCTTCCTTACCAAACATGATGTTTTATTTATCCTTCCAACTTTCCATCCTTCTACTTTTTCATCGTACCAAACAGAGCATTAGTTGCAAATTTAATCCTCTCACAATATGTGCAAGAAGTGGCTTCTCCAATCCTTGCCGAAGGTGATGAACTTCATTCCGATTGATAAATAGGACACTTGAGAAACAATGATACTAACTGGAACAAGTTTACGAAATTTGCATGTGGAATTTTATTACAAATTACAATTCAAACTCTTGATGGCATTCATCATTTAAGGTTTATGAAAGTAGCCAAGCTTTTGATCATGCTTAGAGCCTTCTCACAATTGGGATTGAAAATGTGGAAAACATGGTCCTCCTCTTCTGACTCTATTATCTCCGCCGCTCCCTTCCAATTACTTTTCACCAATGAGTCTTAATAGAGTCTCCCTCTGTCCCTCAGTGTATCCTTCTCTGCAACACACACAAGAACTCGATCACACTCCAAACTTTCTAGACTAGGTGCCCCATTTGCGAATGGGTTGATTAGCAGATCATCGTTTCCTCTGTTCGATGGGCAAACAAACTGCCACCACTTGTCCACCATCGATTTTCTTACCAGGTCTGTAACCTCTGAACCAATCGGTTCCACCCCCCAAAAGTATGGGTGGATCAAAACAATTCCAGCCAACTTCAGTCTTATGGCATGGTTGGAACACTGGTGCCGTATAGCCCTGTGGTGTGCAGTATTTGCTCCTGCACTATCCCCTACCAAGAGCACCTGGCCAAAGTCGGTGTTGTCTGTAAGCCAAGCTTCACTGCCAGCTCCGTAGGCATGTGAAGCCACCCATTGAAGGACGTCCCAGGAGTCATTGTACGCAGTTGGAAAAGGGTGCTCTGGGGCTTTTCTATAGTTCACGGAGACAACTATGATGTTTGCTGCAGCAACTAGTATGTTGAGAAAGTGTGATACACTGGTTCGCCGGTAGAGCAGATGAGAAAGGCTCCACCATGAAAGTACACCACGAGAGGAAGCTTTTGATTATTGGTTTGATCGTTTATGAGATTGGGACGATAGAGTCTGGCTGACACTTTGGCATCTAGCATGATTTCGATGTCTTTCGATAAAACGCCGGTTTGAGGATCAAAGGCGGCTGGGACAACATCAGGCCCAGCAAGTCTCTCTATTGTTCCATCTTTGTATACTTTAAGATAGGGCAGAACCTCATGAGTTACTTCTTGTTTGCCCAAATCTATTCCATCTTTGTTTACTCTGAGGAAGGGTTGAACCTCATGAGTTTCTTCTGGTTTGGCTGAAACCGTGTGTGTGTGTGTGTGTGTGTGTGTGTGAGAGAGAGAGAGAGAGAGAGAGGACAGAATGCGAATGCCACCTAAAAAAGTGGAGCATGGGGCATCATAAGTAAATGCTAGACAATGACTCATAGGTCAGCTTGTAACAAAAGTTTATTAATCACTAGTGCTATTGTGGCTGCTCTTATTAATGGGAAATGGAGGGAAAGCAAGTGCAGGCTTTCATAACTCCATGTGAGTGGACAGCACCATCTTTTTTGTATTTTTCTTTCTTTTTGGATGGAAATTCGATAAAACCAAGCAGGCTAGGCCCGTGGTGGTACCCTCCCATGCTTATTAGTTTGTCCTGAGCCTGGCTTGATCCTTAATTAATTCATCGGTTCGTAGCAAAACCTGCAACTATGTGCTCATTATATTACTTCTATATAGTAGGACAGAATTGCCTGTTGTTACTATACCCTGTTTGTAACGATCGGGCAATCCACCTGAAACAACACGTGACATTTCGATCCGGAGAGTTATGCATTACCATTTTCTTTTCATCCGGTAAAAAAATCCATGTTCCATAACAAACAAAAGAATGCAGAGAAAAGTGAAAAACAAGAAGATTAGAGAGCCAATGCAAAAGACATTTTCATATTCTTTGTGCATTTTTCGATACAGGTTCCTCCTCAGACGAAAAGTTAATAAGCAACATACCTTTTGATAATGCATGTGCATAGAAAATACAACCAGATTTTCCACCATTGGGTCGGATGTTCAAACTTCTATATGCTTAGATCCAGCTATATTTACAAATGATGGCACCCTTCTATATTTCTTTCTCAAAGAAGTTCATTAAATATCCCTGCTTTCAAGACAACTATCAAGATTCAAGAAGAATCTCCCTTCCATCCATAAGAATGGAAGAAACAACTCTGATAGTTGGCTGCTGCAAACAAACAAGGTAACAGAAGCACAACATCATTGCCAAGAAAATGGAAGTTACCATCTTATTTGCGTCTTAACAATATGTAAAGGCAATAAACCTTGAAAACAATTGAAAGAACCATATTCCATTACCAGATTCTAATGCATCCATTATTACCACCAACCAATGCAAAGACTACTGGCAGTACTAAACAAAATCTAAGCATATGAACTTCAATATTTCTCCAAAAAGACTGTTAGACAACATAGCTCTTTCAGAAACACAATTGAAAGAACCTCATTCCGTGAAAACTTTCGTTCAATTATCTCAATTAATGGCCCCTTCAGTTGTGTTTGATGCAGCCTTTGTTGCCTCAAGGATTTAGTGTTTATTTTAGGGTTTAGCAAGTGGTAAAGCTAACCTCAGAATGTCCTCATATTAGTTATAATGTACCTGCTTCTCAGTCCTTAAACGCATGGAACAAATAAAGCTAGCAACTTTGGGGAATGATGAAGAGCTCTCTTTTAGGCCTGGTCAAAACAACTCATTTACATCGAGACAATATTCTTCCTTAAAACAGGAAACCCCACCACTACACATACATCTATGACATTGCAATAAAATAGGTATACAAAGGGTCTGCCCACATCATGAAAGATTTTTGAAATGTCAATCAATACTGAAATGGGACTAAATTGGAATGTATAAGAACACTAGATTGATGGATAAAAAGGTACCAATCAAATCAAGTTGAAGATTTCTGAAAGATCCTGGCTTTCGTGCTTTGGTGGTTTTGGAGTTGCTGAGACGTGAGAGAAATGAGAGATTGAAGCTTGGCAACAGCAGAAGTTTTCTCAGGTGGGCACTTGGAGAGAGCAATGTTCAAAGAGTGAATAGCCTCGTCAAGCTTTCCTCCAGCCAAGGATGCCAAACCCGCCTTATAAGCTTCATCAGCCATTTGAACATCATATTGAGATGTTGAATTTGCATCAGCTGTCTTATTCTTTGAGAGGGAAGAAGATGGGGACTGTAGGAGAGCAGTAGCTCGGGTATACTCAAAACCAGAAATCGCAGAATTAATCTCAGCCATCAGAGCATCAGGCGTTGCTCGGATACTCTTCACTCCGTCAAATACACTCCAGTGAGGGCTTGCTTCTCTGGAACCCGTCTTCATCTCTCCAGCTGAAATTGATTAGAAAGGGACCGCCTTGTGCACGGGACTCACAAAAATTAACACATAGCATGCAATCCAAACTAGAGTGTTTCACCGACAATCTTTTGCTTACTGTTGAATAGTCTAGGTACTCAACTACTAAAAAGAATAATTTTTACATGAATCTGCAAGTGGAATGACTATGACCATTACAAAACCAAACAAAATTGAGCACAAGCAATTGAAAACGTTCACAAGCAAAAATAGTTCAAGGGTTTCTGGGAAAAACTTTGCAAATGAAATTGACCTCTTTATACAAACAATTTCAAGTACAATTTTTTATAGGAGCAATACAAGCATACCACAAAGACAAATTTATCTCAAACAATATTCAAATCTTTCTTCAAAACCCAATATACAAGTATTCTCTCGAAACGATCATCTGGGACTCCTCAATTTGAAACCCACTGATATCAACAACAAAAAACTAGTAGATCAAGCATCAAGGATCACCGGTTCAATTGTCAGATTCATCAAACTTATGCTAATAAATCGAATAATCGACTCCACTACGCATCGAGTGATCATCGATTATTGAACTTTTTATAGACCGAAAATGAAAGAAAAAATCAAAAAGAAAGAAAATAATAGATTAACAGAATTTGTACTTGAATAGGTAGTCGGAGTCTCCAATTTCTTCAACACGTGCTCCAAGAATAGGGATTCAGATCCGTCGCAACCTCATCCTACTCGACTTGCCCTAAAAGTATGTAACTGAACCACCAGAACTCTTTTATTTGTGGAGGAAAGAAAACCAAGAACAGTGATTCCCTCGGGTACCGGAAAATCAAAAGAAAATCAAATTCTCGTTTACATTTTCCTTCTTTTTTTTGGTTTTGGGTAAATCTCTTAAGTGTCCTCTTAAATTATCGTCTTTATTTATTTATTTATTTATTTATTTNAAATCTCTTAAGTGTCCTCTTAAATTATCGTCTTTATTTATTTATTTATTTATTTTTTAAACAAAACATGAACAAAAAAAATACACAACAACAATCTATACGATAAAACTAAACAACAATCCACGTGATAAAGCTCAACACACATTCAGAGAGAGACCCACAAACTAATTCTTCTTATAAAAAGAATTGACAATGAGCCACTTATACTCATAGAACTGATAAAGAGCAACTGATGTGAGATTGGAACATAATTTTTTTTAGATAAAACATACACAGAAAAAACACACATAACAATCCACGTGGTAAAGCTCAACGCACACATAAAGAGGGACACACAAATCAATTCTTCTTATAAGAAGAGGCCTTTATTTTAAATTATAATCTATTTCAGTCAATTTTTTTGTTAACATGAACTAAAAATTAAAATATATTTTATTAACACTAATCGTCAAATGAGATAAATTCTATTAACATTAAGATGTAATTTTCTTTTGTTATTTTGTTTATTTTAAAACCTACCCTATACGACCTAACAGTTCGGTTTCATATTGGTTCACATTATGTATAAATTACGGTGTCATTTGACTCATGGTTGACTTAAAAGCTTCATGACCTAAATTCCTCATTATACTCAACATCATCTTTGATGGGGTAGGACTTAATACCTAACTCATACTACAAGCCCAGTTTAAATTAAGAGTTCAACTCCAAGAGATTCAGAATTTAAAGTGGTCCACACCCGATCAAGTTATTTAAGTTCAAGGAGCTAAATCAACAAGGGAGTATGTAAGGGTCATTCAAGAACATCCTCCTATCCACCTTGGAGTAAGAGTTATCCCAAAAGCCTCATCCACGCCGCCTTGAAAAGAGTCAATCCTCGCCTCATCCTTTGACCGAGTTCTATGAAGAGTATTATAACTGTCTCGCCAGTTGATAAGAGGTCGTCACCTCCTCTGAATCAGTTATTTAATTACTATTAAATCGCTCTAATCCGTTATGACTATTAAATTAGTTATTTAATTACCATTAAGTCGTCTCAATTCATTATGAGACGACTATAAATTGTAAGTCTCACCAACACTTGGAGGGCATCACACTCAATTGAGTATATCTCCCCTCTCCCTCTTGTAACTCTCTGCTCTCTCTACACACTTGAATTAATAAAATACTCGGTGGCCCTAGCCATTCAAAATAGACATAAGTCACCTGGACCGAACCACTATAAAATCTTATTTTGTTTTTGTCTCTATCTCTCACTTATCAATTATTGCATTTTTACTTTTCAATTGACAGATGGTGTACAAATCCAATTTGTGCATCATCAATCTTCAATCTAACATTTTGTGTGGCTTCATCTTATTTTGCAATTTTGCAATTTTGCATAATCTCATCGGAGTTTGACTTGCATAAAATAGAATGGGAGAAAATTAATGCAAATATGTTGAAAGTAGATGTAAAACAATTTTAGATCAATCCATCAAATAATTAACAATTTAAGTTCATATTTTATCGCATTAAACAACTAAATTTTATCATGTCTCTTAAAAGTCCACAATGTATTAAATCCATATTTTTGGATAAAAAAATAAAGATCATAACTTAAAAAATTTTGCAAGGTCATGCAAAATGAAGTCAAAACACAGTTTTAGAGGTCTACAAAATAATTCGAAAAATTGAGGGGTGTTAACATAATTTTAGAAACTTGAGGGGGTCATGGCTCCGCCCATGGCGGTCTCCTTGAATTTGTTATTACGATACGTATCAAACGTGGATTTCGAGATAATAAATCTAAAGAATTTTTTTTAAAGTCACTAGACGTGAGTTTTTATCCCGTTTTTTGCAAGCACCTTAATAGAGACGGACGTACAACATGGAATTCACCTAGCCAAGGTTAAGTGAAACTGAATTGTGATGGTGTGCTTAGGATTGAACCCAACCAAGCATCGTTCAGAATGGTTATCAGAAACTTTCAGGGTCAACTAGTGGATGCCAGAGCTGGAACACTTCGATCATGATCAGCCCTCTTTGCTAAAGAGGTGTGCAAGTGTGAAAATTAAAAATTTTATGTACATACATAGCACTATAACTATAATTGAGTTCCCCTCAACGAGCTTCTCCATCAACAATGTTTCCTGTCGTCACTCACATTAAATTGGAAATCAAATCATGTCGCATAGGGGAAAGGATTGGGCATACAAAAGACTCGATTGGAAAATGAAGGAAAATAACAAACTATACACTGCTCCTATATTCAATGTACTTGATGCTAATCTACTAAACACAATTATTGAATCATTATAACTACTTACTGGGTTCTAAAATAATTAATTTTACAGAGCCCTGACCGACAAGGAAAAAATCATCAGTTTTACATTGCTCAAACGCAACAAAGGTAAGCCTTAATCACATCAATCATATGCATTGTAATAGCAGCAAAGTATGGTTGAATAGCAGCAATGGATGTGGGAGTAGAATTGACAGGCCAGTGTACATATACGGGAGTTTTTCTCCATAATAGGTGATGGGACATTTTCAAACACTTTTAAATGGTGACACGTGTATTCGGCGTCAATAAAGACTCTCCCGCTCTGATCCCGACNTGTTTTTCTCGATAATAGATGATGGGACATTTTCAGACACTTCCAAATGGTGACACGTGTATTCGGCGTCAATGAAGACTCTCCCGCTCTGATCCCGACACGTTTTCGTCGGTTTTCAACCCCCTGTCTCGAGGATGCTATTCACAGGGATCAAGGATCTCCAAACCACCATGGACCGACACGTATTCCTCGGCAGTTGGGTATATTAGTCTTAAATCATGCTAGTCCCTCGGCACCGAGGTGTATCTATTCACGTGGGGATTTCTGCTCTTGCAGGGGCTATTGATGGACAGATCACTAGCCTAGGCTAGGCTAGACTAGCCATCATGACCTCGTTTTACTCAAATAGTGTCAGGAGACACAAGAAAGCAGAAGGCTCAACCAAAGGAGAATGGGCACATGGCGTATTGTGTCAAATTAAAGACAAAAAGACCAGAATGCCCTTGCTGACACACGACTTGAGAAAGGAAGTATTTAATGCACCCTTCCCTTGATGAGACAGCATTTAATGCATGAGAGCTTGGAAGTGAAAGGTAATAAATGTTCCAAAGCCTGAGCATTTAATACACCCCCGCCGAGGGAAGATAATTAAACATTCGGCAGACCGAGGAGAAAGAATTAGTTGCTCGGGGTCTCGAGCAGTAAAGAATAAGAACATTACTCATAAATATTGGTGTGCACACTGCCTACCCTCTCCTGGCATAACGTCTTCGAAGAATGATAAAGGATCGTCATGGCTTCTATGTGTAGACGGTTCCTCCAACTGTAAAGGATCTAAAATCGATATCTTGCTAGTTTGCTCAGGTGGAGTGGTCGCCGAGCAAGCCATTCGGCTAGGATTCAAAGCATCCAATAACGAAACCGAGTATGAGGGTCTCATCTCAGGGCTTCGGTTAACCGAGGCGATGGGGGTTACGGACTTGGTCGTCCACTGTGATTCTATACTGGTAGTCAACCAGGTTAACGGAGAGTTTAAGACTAGGGATCCTAGGATGAAGGCTTATCATCACAAGGCGACAACTATGATCCGGAGTTCGAAAAGATCGATATCAAACAAGTATCCTGAGATAAGAACACGCATGTCGACGCCCTGGCTTGCTTAGCTTCGGTACTGGATTCTTCTCTGCCACGCAAGATCACCATCGAGTATCTTCCCACTTTCAGTACAGATAAAGCTCCCGAGACGATGGCCGTCCAGGAAGAACACGGGCAACTCAGCTGGACAGATCCTTTTCTCAGGTTCCTGGTAACAGGGGATCTCCTCGAGTGTTCGAAAAAAGCCAGGAAGATAAAGCTCAAAACCCCGAGATTTTGAATTTTTTCGGATCAGAAGCTGTACCAAAGGTCGTTCTCAGGGCCTTACCTACTATGTATCTAGGAGGATAAGGTGGAAGACCTCCTCTACGAAGTACACAAAGGAATATGTGGGGGGCACTCTGGGGGCGATCCATGGCTCATCGCGTCATGTCTTAGGGATATTGGTGGCCGCGGATGTAGAGGAACGCACAAGCATATGTCCAGAAATGCGACCAATGTAAGAGGTTCACCCCGACAATCAAACAGCCTACAGGGGACTTGCACCCATTAATCAGCCCTTGGTCATTCGCCCAGTGGGGGCTCGACTTGGTTAGACCCCTGACTAAAGCTC